ATCTCTAACTGCTTTTTCATCAAATGTAGCAAAAACATTCTTAGCAGTCAGTTTTAAACTTAACTTAATATCTAGAAAATCCTCTAACGACCTAAAATTTGGAGTTTTAGGACCCACAGTGGGGTCTTAACCCCAATTTGCTGTTGATGAAACCTTAAAGTGACTGTGACACTAATTTTTTTGTAAGAAATACGAATGCATTTTTGGAAAGCTAACATTGATAACATATTACTAAACAAATTTCACGTTGCTCAGATGGACAGCTGTGGAGAGATTTGCATGTAAAGTAACAGGAAGTCATGTCAAAGGATAAAAATGCATTTGAATATTAAAAAAAAATAAATGTTACCAATTATTTTAGTATTTGAGACAAATTACAGTCATTCTTTTTACAATGTGTTCACATTTTAAGACCTCTGAAAGATTGATTTAAGACATTTTAAGGCTAATTAAGGCCTTATTTTTGGATTGATGAATTCAATGACTTTTAAGACTTTAAGGATCTGCAGGAAGCCTGTAAAATCAGCTATAGCTACATGTTGAAAAAAGCACTTTTCTTCTTCAAACCCAAGTTGTATGAGCATTAAACAGTTAGCCTATATTTGTGCAATAAAATAAACAAATCAGCCAAATAAAAAGGAGCCAAAAGCTCCTTCTGTGTTGGGATAAACCTCATTAAAAGAAAAAATTTTATTTACTGTCACTTTGAACAGCGTGACTAAGAGATGCAAGCACTTAAACTGAAAAAATATTCTTTATAATTAAATATGTATTGTAGYTAAACTCACTGCAGTTGGTGGCCTTCCTCCAGTCTCCCAGTTCCACCCCAAGCCCGGCGCAGGCTTTAGCGTAGCTTTCCAAAGAAGAACACAAACACTGCAGCAGGTTGTCGCCACAGTTACAGGTCCGGTGGATGCAGGCCTGGGACCAGCAGATGGTTCAACGGTTACACAAGCGTGTCATTAGCGTATAGCGTAGCTGAGCGTTGAGGCTTCTTACTGTGTGGTACTGATCTGTTGGGATGAAGACGTGGCAGGCAGCAAATATCCCAGCCGCGTTGTTCAACACGTCGCACTTTTCATCCGCAAATATTTCTGAAAAACAAACATTTATTTAAAAGATCTGAGTGAAAGCAGTTCCAGATCAGGGAACGCTCAGAGTTTAAAGGTACCGCGGTCAGTGTTGACGCAGGTTTTGGGAATATTCTCCTCACACGTCCCCAAACTCCAGGACAAAGCGAAAAGTTTGGCCGAGTTCTCGACGATCCCGCTGCTGGTGGTGAAGTCGTCCGTCGTGTCGCCGTTTCTGTTCCCACACAGACCTGGAGGACAAACGAGGTGCCGCCGCAGAGGTTTCGTTTTTTAATTTAATTTTTTTACAGATATTTAACCTCTGTGAGCCTTTAGTTTGTGTCTCCTCCAACCTGAGATGGTGTCGGTGCGGTCGCTCGGCGGTGTGACGTACAGCTGCAGTTCAGGAAACACCTGGACTTGGATCTTCAAACCAAAGGTTGTGTGAACTTCAACGTACATCGAGGACTGCCAGAAAACCAGGGCGTGATCTGTCAGGGGTTAAAGTTTTATAAGTCATGTAATTAAGGGAAAATTAAATCGTTATGAATAAAACATGGCTAAAAAAATCAGATCTTCTTACCAGACTGATAAAGCTCTGTGATCTCCTCGTCTCCAATTTTAACCAGACTGTTTGTAAAAGTATAAATTTCCTAAAAATGCAACAAGATGCAGTGAATTACATCTTTATCCACCTAAAATTAATCCTGACAGATGGATAATATCACGTATGGYTGTTTGTACCTGAAAGATCTGGAACGTTATGGTTTTCAGGGACGGTTCTTTATCAGAAAACTCAATTTTTATTGTCCAGTTTAACCCCTGCAGAGAAAATTATCCTGTTAGAATTAATGCTAATAGATGTAGACCCCAGGATAAGGTTGGGTAATGCTGGCAAAAAAAAAAAAAATCATGATTGTGACATTTAGCCAATAACAATGAATATATGACAATTATGTTTATGATGGTATTTCAGGTTTTTTAACATGTTTGTAATGTTAGCAATGCCTTAACGTTAGCTCTGTATTAAAGTAAGCTCCAGGTTAGTATTAGCTCCACGTTAGCATTAGTTTTAGCCCTGTTTTAGTGATAGCTCCAGATTAGTGTTACATTAGAGCCATGTTAGTGTTAGCTCCATGCTAAGTGTTACCCCTGTGTCTGTGTTAGCTCCAAGTTAGCATTAGTGTTAGCTCCACATTAAAATTAGCTCTATGTTAGCATTAGTGTTAGCTCCACATTAAAATTAGCTCTATGTTAGCATTAGTGTTAGCTTCACATTAAAATTAGCTCTATGTTAGCATTAGTGTTAGCTCCACATTAAAATTAGCTCTATGTTGGCATTAGTGTTAGCTCCACATTAGTGTTAGCTCTGAGTTACCGTTAGCTCTAAGTTGGCATTAGTGTTAGCTCCAAGTTACCATTAGCTCCAAGTTACCATTAGCTCTAAGTTAACATTGTGTTAGCTCCACATTAGAATTAGCTCTTTGTAAGCATTAGGKTTAGCTCCAAGTTASCATTAGCTCCAAGTTAGCATTAGTGTTAGCTCCGCATTAGAATTAACTATGTTAGCATTAGTGTTACCTCCACATTGGAAATAACTGTTAGCATTAGTGTTAGCTCCGCATTAGAATTAGCTATGTTAGCATTAGTGTTACCTCCACATTACAAATAACTGTTAGCATTAGTGTTAGCTCCGCATTAGAATTAGCTCTATGTTAGCATTAATGTTAGCTCCACATTAAAATTACATCTATGTTAGCATTAGTGTTAGCTCCGCCTTAAAATTAGCTCTATGTAAACATTAGGGTTAGCTCCGAGTTACCATTAGTTCCAAGTAAACATTAGCTCCAAGTTAGCAATAGCACTGTGCCACATCATAAAAGCCACTGATCATAGTACTCACAAAGTGCCAAACATGAATTGGTGGCAGTTTTTCTGATGATTAGATGCACATGATACGATTTTGCCCAACATCAATCCAGGAGACAAAAGTCTTACCTGTGAGGCCATATATGCACATTTACCAGGAACAGCATACTGTTTGCCATCGTACGTTGTTACAAACTGGCCTTCAATGATGCATCTGGGGGGGCACTGGTTTTCAGAGCACTGCCAAGTTCCATCATTACACAGACTGAGAACAGAAAACACAATTTAAGTTAAAAATTTAATCCCTTTTGTTCATCTCCGGTCTTGTTGCAGCCACGACTCCGTAAGTAGAGATTAAAACCAGAAATGTTGGTTAAGTTTTCTCAACCGTTAGGTTAATGCTGAAAGCAACAAACATGGCTAAGTAACTATTTAAAGACCCTTGTCATTTATTACAGCATGAAAAAATGTTCATACATGTTCATGCAAGGACACTTTTATAAAAGTTTACTCTTCTGCTCGTTTAAAATTGTTTAATTTCAACAGGAAGTGCCCCAGGCTTCTTCTATTTAGATTAGCTTCAGCCGCTATTTGTGCTAACAAAACACGCCCCGTAAAATTCTGAGTCTATTCTATGTAAATACTTGAGTAATCCAAAAACTGACAATATAAACGTTTGTAAAATACAATTTTCTTTACCTTGTATGTGACTATTGACACTGTAGTTATTTTAAAATGGCAGCAWTCCTAATTGTTTTTGGCTAACAAGGCTAATGACTCGGCTAACTGACGAGCTAAGTAAGCTAAATGATTAGCTAGCCATTAGCTYGCTAGTTTGGTCAGAAATAGCTTTKTTAACAAAYTTWATTTGGAGAAAGAGTTTATTTATAAAATATTAACTGTTCATAACAGAAACATATTTAATAAATTTGACTTATTTTTTTTAATTTACCACATTAAGAAGAGCTGACCTAAGCTGTTTCTGCGATGGGTTTTGACTCATTTTTTTAGCACTTGGAGCTAACATAAGTCAAAGGGAATTAACCAAACGCACAACTGGGATTTAGCATTGTGTGAATTTTTCAAAAGGTTTCATAAAAATGGGGATGTATGTTTAAAATTCCCGCCCTCTCACCATGTCTGACACTTGGTGCTCCGTGTAGAACCATTTTTGTAGGTCAGGTCCCCGAAGAGGCAGGGACACATGGGCGGACTCACACACCGGTATCCATCAGCGCTGTCATTCAGAACCTTACCTGCAACCAGGTGTCAAGTGTTTAACAAGCACACAGGCAGCATCCTTCAACAGTTTCTGACAGTTTTTACCTTGTGGGCAGACACAGGTGCTGGTGCTCTCCTGGTTGGTGGTTCTGGAGTTTTGATTGGAGCAGCTGGGAGTGAAGGCAGGACCGTCTTCTATGTAAACCAGGTCTCCGGGACACGTCGGAGGAGCTACGTTCACCCACCCAAACAGACAGCAACATCAATTCATCGAGTATGTTTAAATCAAACTCATGTTTTAGTAAAATTAGGACAACACAGTGTGAGCGCTGAGAGCTGCCCAAATCTATTGAAACTGATAAAAACAAGTCGTTGTTAAAGTGGCAACAATCAAATGAGCAGAATGGGCTAAAATGAAGCTAAAACACAACAAACCAAAACTAACGAAAAACAAAAACTGAAGTGATTAAAACTATAGCTAAAATAAGCAAAACAATAGAAAATGAAGCTAAAACCTAAAAATGTAAGATTAGCCAAACTGTAGCTAGATGGTAAAATTTGCACAACTACAAGAAATAAAATCCTTCACTATTGCGGGGGGCGGGTGAGGGAGCAAAACTGTGGCTAGAAAATTAAATTTACAAAAATCTTACTTGAAAGCTAACATTAGCAAAACCACAGCTAAAGCTTCAATTAGCAAAACTAACACATTTGCAGAGCTGTGCCGAATGTGTGAAAAACTGACGATAATGAGTCAAAACTTACAAAATCACAGGTAAAACATAAAAGTAACAAAACTGTAGTTGAAGCAAAAATTAACAAAATCACAACTAAAACCTTAAATTTGCTAAATTGTAGCTAAATTTTACTAATCTGAAGGAGGAAAAACTACAATGAGGAAAAAACTGAAGCTAAAAGCTAAAATTGACTAAATCATAAGCAAAACCACAAAAAAACAAAAAATAACACTGAAAATAATTACCTACAATTAGCTATAGCTTGATGCTAAAATAAGCAAAACCAATGTTGGGAAAATAAATTAAATTGGTAGAATCATAGCTATAAGCTTAAAGTAGCAAAATTGTAGCTAAAATGTACTAATCTGAAGGAGAAAAAAAATACTAAAATGAGAAAA